CCAGTTAGGACGACAGAGAAAATTTAAAGGGATTTTCGTCCCCTAACCCTTCGGAGAAGCATACCTTACGGCCCCTGGAAGTTCAGTGATATATGATCCACTTTACGTCTTACAAGTCTTTAGGTACAATCGACATCGCTTATCGTTCACTTGCCAGTGATTGTGGTAGGCCGGCATGACTACGACACCTACAAAGATGCCATTGAACGGCTCAAAGACACAGGTACACATTCATAATCTCGGGTCCCTTCAGGTGTCCCGTGGCCTACGCATAAAGGGTGAAGCTTTTGGTGCTGATCACATCTTCTTGGAATGCGCCGCTCTTTTTGTTTTTCCACACAAGTGTGGTATCAGTTAACCGACTTGAATAGGGAGGGCTCGGGTCCAATGGGCAGAATTTGATCCCACAACTGTTCTTAGGAATGTGCGCATGAGGGCGGAGTCTTTGGTACCGTATGTAAGTGGTGCCACTAACGGTACCAAAGATCCGCCCGTGGCCTGTGCATAGTTCTCGGAAGCGGATCTCTTCTGAACCTGGTGGTCAAGCTCAGTTAACAGCGGAATTTCTGGGAAGGTTATTCTCACTCCCATAGAACTGCACTAATACATACAGGGGGGGGGGCAAAAAAAGACATTTTGCCTATGTCGGCACTTCGGCCCTTTTTTCTTCGCAGAGATTGCCGTCGTTGACGGGAGTTCCTCAGCAGAGTATTCCCTAAATGTCCCGCAGGCCCTCCTTCACTGCCCTCACCGTCTTCAGAATATGACGTCATCTGTCACCGTCGTCAAGCTCAAGGAGGCCTACCGTAACTGCTTCAGCCTGAAGCTCTTACATAATTTCGTGAATCGATTCAATGTTGGATAGTTTCCTAGAGACATTAGCTCCACTATGCAAACCCCCTCGAAACTAGCTTTCCAGTAAAGGTCGTTATGGTACACGATCCTTCGAAGACCCCATTGAGCTCGACCAGTGCACCATGTTTCCAGGGCAAATTTTTCGTCCACGTAGGTGGCCACTATGAAGATTTTCTTATAGAATGAAATGTGCTCTTCAATATAAGTTGGAACCATTCGGTTTGAATTGAGCAAAGTGTGATTAAATCCATCTGAATGTGGAGACAAAATGTCTTTTTTATTGGGCCCCCTGTATATAGCATATAGATTTCGAGTACTGTGTCCACACGATATTGTGTCATTACCGTTATAACTTCTTTGAGCATAATTCTACGAAGTTATTTAAAGGACGAATTCACGATGAAAAAGCAACCCATTTCAAATTAACCTAGGGATGGTGAGTGGTACACGAAAGAAGGAAGAACCATGAGAAACGGCCCAGAACCCGAGAAATGGTACCCCTTCCTTGCCCGTTGATTCGAGCATTGATGCGACTCTCATCGCTGTGCCCTCTTCAACACTACGCTCTCTCAGCTATCTAATCACTCGCCACGTATTGAACTACGGCGAGTGATCAGATGATCGGTGGGCGGAGATCGCCGGACCCGCCAGCTTTGAGGCATGATAGGTCGCCGAGGTCAAATTTTTCCATGCGATCCCGTGAGTCCTTAGCTAGGTCAGTTTTCCTACTCTTTGACTTATTTTTAAATCGTGAATTCCTCCTTTAATGTAGAAATTTTGTGGGTATATTCTTCCTCTGCGAAGTATGTACTGGGATCTTTGGGTTATGGTTTATGCAATTTTACATTATAGGATTAGGGAAAAGGTGGGGAATAAATAGAAACTGAAAGAAGTGCGGTATGGAAAAAGAAACAGAGGGTACAAATTTGGGCGAAAGCAGTGGTTGTGAGCCTAGAGGCCTCAAAGGCCGAACACCTCCCTGGCATAATCCCTTTTTTATCAAATGCCACGAAAGTTTTGAAGATAGCCGTACGTCTGCAGTGACTGTCAGCGACTCTGATGTATGACGTTTGTTTTTGTTGGTTGCTGCTGTGTTTTAAGTTGTTTTCACTTTTCAGCGTTTGAAATTGGTGTGATCAGTTTGGAATCGGAGAGTGATCTTGACGTGGCTCGTGCGCTTATTCAGAAGCTTCTCGACGATCATCCCTGTTTGCCGTACGAACCAGGAAAAGAATGGCGATTCTTGGATTGTGAGTGGTTATGTTTGAGTAAAAAGCGAGCTAATGCCGGGTTCTAAGGCCTTAGCTCTTCAATATTGTCAAATCATCCTGACACTTGTGCACATGCTACACGCTTGTGTAACAGCGCAATTTTCTGAGGGAACGCTTGGAAAGCCGCTATAAACAGTTGGGCAGGTGCCAAATTTGGTCCGTTCGCCTTTTCGTCGACACGCCCATTTGCGAGCTGTGAATGTGGCGTGGTCGGCTTCGTGGCCTTGGGCGATTGTGTGTGTGCTGGGGCCACGTGGAGGGAATGCCGTCTATTTTTTGATTGGTTTCAGTTGCCTAGATCGTTTAATCATCTTATAATGGCGTCTTTGTTTTGCTGTACACATCTTTAGTTGTATTTGTGCATGAACGATTGCCGGTCGCTGGCACGGAGGCAGCAATAAATGCAGGCGGAGCATACCAGCTCGGACAACTCGTCCGATCCATATTTCATATTATTGTTTGGCTAGGAGGCGTGAATCGCACACTAGCGAACTCAGCGTGGGCTGAAGGCTCATCAAAGTGGCATAGCGTTCCTCAATATAACTTAAATGCGTGGCGCATCCCAAAACAGATTACTGGATACTGGTTACCTTAGACTTCTATTAACCTGAGGGCTATCTCCTTATTTCAGTGGGGAGAGAGGGAATCTTTTTTTGAGGGCTCCACGGTGGTGTTTTTTGTTCCTTTTTCATTTTCAGTCGGCATCCCAGTTTCACTATCGACCGCTTTTATCCCAGCAATTCGATCTAGGGATATTGCTTTGATTTGGGTGAGAAATCCCGAACCTTGCCTTCAAGTCCTATTACATGGTCTCAAATCAATAGAATAGAATCAAGCAGAGCTAGGGCAAGCGTTTGGAGGGCAGGAACTTGAGCCGCTCTGTGGTCCATCACCAAGCAGGTGAAACATTCGGTGCTTGAGGTGAGATATGATTTACCCTCAGGTTAATAGAACTCCAAGGTAATCAGAATCTCGTAATCTGTTCTTTGAAAGCGCCACGCATTCAATTTATATTGAGAAACGCTATGGCACTTTTACTCGAGCCTGGAAGTTATTACGGACTACTTGATTTTCCCTCAATGGTCCCGCCGCGAATGGCAGAGGGCATAGACGATTAGAGAACGAGTCAATACCTGGAAGGGAGACGTGCGTTTCTCCTCCTGGGGTCAGGTCACCACAGTTGCGCGATCATTGAAGCTTAAGGTTAAGTTTGGGTTTAGACTTAGGTTAAGGCTTATGCTTACACATTGGCTTATGCCTAAGCCTATGATTGGGCCTAGGCTTAGTCCTAAGCTTGCTCCGAGCGAATGAACGGCGTCTCTATTTCAGGACTGAGCCTTGGAGAAAGAGGGATCCGGAGAGAGCGCAGAGGCGGTTTGAAGGACTGAGTTCAAGTAGTCCGTCAACCTCTTCGGCCCACGCTGAGTTCGCTAGTGTGCGACTCGCGCTTCCCGGCCAAACTATAGTCGCTGTTTTATCTATTTTTGAGGGATGAATGGCCTGAATTCCTTGAGCAGGTCCCAATCGAGATTTGATTAGTGCGAAAATTGCGCCACCTGCCAACATCCCACATTTGTTCAACCGTAAGACAAAGTTTTAGTGATATATAAGAGCCTGAGTATACTTTCTTTACTGCTTCTCAGGCATTGTTTCGTAATGTACCTCATTCAATCCAGCATTAGAAGAATATTTGCAGACGTCACGAACGCTGAAGAAGGCACGTTTCGAGTGTCACGAGCTCAAGAACGAGTCCAATCCGTCTCAGACATATGCAATCCTGACGAATGTCTTCTGATCCTCGACGACGCCTTTCCCTCGATCACCACCAGATCTGCGGCCATCGGCAGTGACTTGGTCTTCGCTCCTCCAGTGTGAGTTCATCGTCTTTGAAGCGACAGTCCCAGCAGGGTTTTTACTTCAACACTAATGGTGTGGAACGATGCGTTAGCCTTAGTCAAGAACATAAGAAGGGTGACTGAACGTGTTTGCTCAAAAACCTCGCTGGGAATTGCTTCAAAAACTTGAAAATGCTGCGCATCAATCAGTTGATCTCTAATTGCAATGGTGCTTTTTCTACTGAAATCAGCAGAAGCCTGCAATAAATTATCATGGGAATGGTAATAAATAATAGTGATAATGGTAATGGTAACATCTGGTAAAGCGATATTCTTTTTATTGTAGATAAAAAAGGTTTTGAGCGACGAACGTATTTTTCAAAGATCTATTTATTGACTACCTATTTCTCAACCAATCAACCATCAAATAAAATTCTTTGGAATCGTAGATGCTATGTTATTTCTGGCATTCTTAAAGAATATTTCAACTTTGTTTTGTATTACCCTTTTTACTTTTTAGATTTTATTAATTTTGTTCTTTCAGCATTTCTCTTCTCTCGAAAGAGAGGCTAAAATCGCTGAAAGAACAAAATTTCTGAAATTTCTAGAAATTCCTTTTTACATTTCAAAAAATTCTTCATCGGAGTCTGCCGATAGCATAAAAATAATTCGGCCAAATACGAACTCCTTGTTGAGAACTGTCCAAAGAAATGCTGACCCTGAGTCGGAGAAACTAGCCTACGCAGCTCACTATGTACCCTCCCCTTCAAAAAGCCAGAAATTGTGCGGTGCAGACCATACACCACAAGTGACGACGGCCTCAAAGTAAATCTGGTTAGTAGTGGTTCATAGTGATAGCTGATTTTTAGTAAATGATAGTTGTAATTACTGTCAACTGATCGAATACAACTGTAACAGGTTAATCATTTCATTGGCAAAAAACATTTGCATTTTCTGGAGGCCGTCGTCACTTGTGGTGTATGGTCTGCACCCGACACTTTCTGCTTTTTGAAAGGGAGGGGGGGGGTTACTATCCTCTTAGTTGCATTCAAACGCTTGTACGAGTCTCAAATTGAAAACGTGGAACATTATGAAAAGGGCTCTTTCAACCAAACAACTTGTTGAAGTTTTGTTGTTCTGAGCACTCTCGTCTTTCAGAAGCTTTCTTAGCGTGCCCGTTTAGGATCTATTTAGGCGGTTTTTTCTTCAATGTTTTTTTCTTTCCTTCATGGTCTGCCATGGACATAAGTAATAATAATATTCAATTGGCGCACATATTCGTTAAGTCGGGAGGCATTCGAGCGATGGGGGGGGATGTGAGCTATTTAGTATTGGTGCATGGAAAGCGGGAGGGATCAGCGAAGAGGATGTGAGCAATTTTGTCTTCGTTCCGGCGTTATCTCACCTTCTGTTGGGCTTTGACATTAGTCGTAGGTGCAATTACCAGCGGTTCTCAAAAATGCCCTTGTTTTTGTGATTCTCTCCCTTTCCCTTCCCGCCCCCCCATCCCAAAAAAGCGATGGGCGACTCCTATATATTATTATTACGGTAAGAATATAAGCAGATAAACAATGAATAAATCATTAATTTTTACGAGTTCCTTTTTTGAGAGTCGTCTTGAGGAAATCTACTTCACTGAAATATCTCGCTATTGAGCACCTTACTCAATCTTAGGAGGAAGTCATTTTTTCAGTGATATTTTCATAGTTTCAGTGGTGCACCCCAACCGCCACATTCGATGATGCAGCGACGTATCAGTGAAACACTGCGAATCGTGCTGAGCAGCGAAGCGCAGGAGACTCATCTCTGAGCACAACCATGTGCTACGATCGACTACTAACCACTCAACCACATCCCATATGCTACTCAAGTATCCATGATCTGCCAGTACGAGTTTTTGTCCGCAAATCCCCCTTTGTTACTGTTCCACGATAGGATTATTGATGTTCGTTTCGCTAAGGTTCAATATGACAGGTGTATTTCCCAGTTTTCTTTGCTCCTTGTATAAACGATTCAGTAGTGACGCTACGAAATTCTGTGCATGTTGTATTTATTTTTATAGTTCTTATTGATTCACCAAACAATTTTCCAAACGGTTTTCAATCAATGAAGCACATGCTCATAGTCGTGTTCGCCCGTTATTGTTGCTCTTTGAAATCAGCTCTATAAATACTATTGATTGCTTGTCATTTCGAAATATGTTATGATGTAGCGAGCTTATAAAAACTACAACTGCAGCAGTGAAAGCGCCATTCAACACATTATAGCATCTCTGGGTAGGTGTCATACTTTGCGAACGGTCGCGCGATTCGCTCTTGCGATCCGAGAGATTCGAGTGATTTCCCAGTGAGTTGGGAGATGTTTAGTGTTCTCCGTCCTGAGGAGTTGATGAGTTTCCTCAAAAGCCAGATAACATCCCGTGACCCTACAGAGCCGGTAAACGTAAACCTACGTAGGAATCAGTTGCTGTCCTGACAAGCCACTAACAAGCGGGACCTTGAGGGTGTGCCAAGCTTTTTCAAAAGGGGTCTGCATGCTATGAAGGCTCTTATATGGGCCGTCAATCAAGGTTCATTTTCACTGAGTCTGAGGGCTGACAAAAGATTTGAAAAATTGCTTGGAGCGTGCGGTTTGCCCGAATATCGATTGAGAATTCATCGACTAACCTAAATTTTTCTGATTGATCTTGTAAAGAGAGTAAGTGCCACTACTGTGGTGCTGGCGCTATTTGCAGCAAATCTGGAAGTTCCAACCTAAAATGTAAAGAAAGGAGAATTGGAGTGTGGACCATCCGATAGAAGCAGAAGACCGTTTCAAAGCGCTCTACACCCTGCAAGACTTGCCTTGTTAATGTTAGATTTTGGCACACAGGAGCCTGTCACGACAAAACGTTAGGAACGAAATTGCCTAAAAGCAGGCGACGGGAGCCCAGGAGCAGGGGCGAAATAAACGGAAATGAACTGGATAATTAAACTGCTTGCCTAAGACTGGACGTAGGATCAGCCTTTCGCCAGTCTCGGTGCGCTGCCTTTCTCTCCACAGTAGGTTACGGCTATAGATCCCTGGTCCTGCCTGCAGTAAGACCTAATCGGTTCCTCTGATTCCTCGTAAAAATCCAGGACAACTACTCTTAAACCACTGCATCACGTCTTATTCTAATAATAAAGCACAGAATGAACATCTGAAGGCGCAGGCAATCCTACCATATGGGACAGAACTCCTCGCTGAAAACTACGAACAAGGCCTATTTGTACACGATCGCAGATTGAAGGGATGCTTGGATACCGCGTTGCTCGCCTCTACAACACCCCCTGCTCTTCTAACCCAGATATAGCACTCGTATAATCTCTCGATCTGCCGAACACAAGTTGGCGGCAAATCGCGCCATCGTCGCAAAGTCTGTCACCTGCCTTGGGGACAGTCTACAACCGCGTACATGGCTCTCAACGAAAGCATCATCTGGCTGGTTAGGAATCAAACTTCTCTAGCTCCACCCGTATGTGCGCTGATTAGTTCGCACGAATAAATAACATGTCAAAGTGAGCGCAGACAGTGTCATTCATAAGAAATCACACCTTATCTTCACTCCCGCACCTCCATATCCTTCAGATTTTATTTGTGCCATTCATTCCTTCTTTACGCTAGCAAAGGGAAGAAAACTGAATTTTCCGCCGAGGAAAATTACGGCAATATTCGACAAAAAGTCGTATCAGAATCGGGGAATGGACTAGAGACCTGCTTGTGCCTGCATCTAACTCAAGGGATCATTTCATAAATCACCTTGGTTGTGCAAAAAGGCAGCTATTTAACGTTTCAGACAGTCTTCCTCTACTTGTAATTTTCAGTCGCGCAAGTCCAAAGATGATTCAAAGAAGTCGTGTATCCAACTACCAATATCTGGTCCCACTTGTCACACGGCCAAACGCAACTTGACTTCAACAAATGGCAACCAAAATATGATAGTGATCAGTCTTACAGCAAGAAGTAAACTGTAACTAGCTCTAGAACTTGTTGGCACTCGAACTAAGTGGCTAACTGGTTTTTACCAGTGAAGCTACTGGAAGGCCTAACTCATGAGGATATGAAAAGCAACGATAGGAATGGTCAGCTTCAGTAGAGACGTCACACCCTTAACGACCCACCCAACAATCTTAGAGGCACTTGATAAGTATTTAAAGGGCCGTAATATTAGAGGGAAAGGGTGAAACTCCAGTTCGGGGGGGGGGCACTCCATTTTTTCTCCAATACTCAAGATAAGGATTAGAGGGCTCACGACACGTAATCGACTCATTTAAAGTAGACTTCTGATAAATATTGGTGTAATGGGTGAGAAACCCTGAAACGTTTTCACATTTCCGCCTGCCATGACCCAAGGGAACGGTCCTGGACCAGGAGAAAGGACACCTCCGCAAAGGGCTAAGGGTGCAGGAGCTCCAGGGTGGATCACCTGTGCAGAAAAGTGGATGGGATGTGGGCAGGTAGTGTGGAATGTAGGACATCCACCGGTCCTTATCAAAAGTACGCTCGAAATGAGTCAGTCATTATCTTATGTATAATTATTCTTATCCGTAGTGTTCCGATAGCCCCCCAAAACCTTCTTCTCTAAGAAGTACTCGGATAAGATAGCACATGGATGCCCTACCCCGAACTGGATTTTCACCTTTTTGCCTCGTTTTGCCGACAGATTCTTACCCACCTTTTTCCCATAGCTGGCCTCTACACTTCAACGACGCTTCACTGTCAGCTCTCACGTCACAGTTAACACCAATCACATCCTGGACTTTGCCTTTCAGGCCGAAATCTAGTTCTTCTCCCAAAGTTCCGCAGTCAACAGCCACATTTCTTGGTTCAGCTTTTTAAAACACCAAATGAAGTTGGACGGGCACGTAGGCACCACCTGGAACGTTCTCATTGACAGTGAAAAACAGGCGTGAGAAGAAGATTTGATAAAATGGAACCACGTTTGTTGGTCCCTGCAGGATGATATTAGAGAGAATAAACGTTTCCACGCATGATCGGCAATTTTTGAGAGCTGGAAGCCGTCTTGGAGCAAATTCTGCCAGCCATGAGGAGAGTCGTGAACGACCACACATTTCCACCGGAATTCAGTTTGTCCGTAGGCACTCTTTTTCTTTGCAAACCTTACAAAATCAATATTCATGATTAAAAACAAGCCCGCTCCTCTGGTTCAGGGCAGAATTCCTTTGGACAGTTTGAAACAAAAAGTTCTGCCTCATCGACCTAATTCGCTTCACGTTATTGAGACTCCTCGATAAAGAATTTTTGCAACGTCCAAAAATTCCGGAAAATCATAAAAATGTTTCTCTTCGCAGCACAAAGGATTCCCCTGCATCTCCTCCCAACCTTTCGTTCAAGATACTTTTTTTGAAAGCAGCACCGACAGCGATTACACCACTACGGTAAAGCTACCAGCTGACCAAAGGTAAAAAGCTTGTCAGAGACCCACTTGCTCATTCGTGGGATACCGTACCCCATGCCCGGGTTTTAGCTACCTCAAGTAATGGCTGAGAGCGTCGGATGCTCCAACATGATATCTTCATGAAGCGGCATTCCACGATCCCTGTGACTTTGCCTCTCTAGTCCAGATAAATCTACTCGATGTGCACAAATCGAACAGCCGTTCGTAGTGCATCCAGTCGCTTCTCCGCCGTTGTTATCGCGCGCCTTAATTGAAATTGGTGCCTATCATTCGTACACAAATCTCCTCAGCGAAGCGTTAGCAACAACTATTGCCACCCCATATCGACAAAGGACGAGCCTCCCCAACACTTTCCTCATCAGTGTAAATTCATTCTGAACTTGACATTTTTTAGTACGGATATTATTTTCTTTGGTTTGAGTCAGAGGTTTGTCGTAGAATGTGTAAGGAATTTCGTTTGTGAATAAGTCTGAAATTGGTTTTCTTTCTTCCTCAATTCACTAGGACGCTTCCACTTCTACCAAGGTGTGAGTTAGACCATGCCCATGATCAGGACCCCATGTCAAGGTATAATGTTTTCGGCGATTGGTGTTATCGCTTACGAACTGGAATTTTCACTAGCACGATACCGCAGGGGCTCGCTTTAATGATTGGGCGTTGTCGGCACGAGTTGTCTGAACTTTCTTGCTCCACTGACTGTATTTATCGCCGACACCATGCATAAATTAACAAATTAGCCGCTGCGTCGTAATCACTCTGTCATATCACGGATGCTGGCGCGAGAGTTTTCCGCCATGAAGTCACAAATAGTCGGCCCATCAGATGAAGTGGGCCAAGGGGGGGGGGGTCTACCGGCAACTTGAAACTCAGTCCTTGCAAAACCCTTCATTTGATGCTTTCCGCCTGCGCTCGTCCCCTAACAAGCGGCTTTTGATTATTGTGATCTGGTAAACTTTGAAACATGGTGATTGCTTGCTCAATCAGAGTCGCCTTCTTCCGTCCTACGGCTTAGTCTATGGCCCTCTCCTTCAACCGCGTTGAGATCTGGAACCCGAGCCAGGCGTACGTTGTCCGTCTGTGCGCGACTGGCCTTTTCGTGTAGAGAAATAGGGGAGAAGTTTTTTTTTTCAAGTTAGTCACGGTAATCGGGGGGGGGGGGGGCAAGAATGGGATCACTCTTTGCCGATTGACGAGAGAGTTTGCGGGATTCCGTACGTTAAATAGAGAAGGATGGTGTGAGAATACGAAAGCCAGTCTGTGTATGGCGTTTATGCTTGCTGGTGCATCACACAATTTATGGTCTAAGTATGTTTAAACGCGATCATTAGTATTAAAGGCAAAGATTGGGGCTCAGAAGATTACGGACCCAC